ATAAACAGGCCCCTGTTTGTATCGTCTACCAGGCCTAGTTAACAATAGTATAGACAGCCCTGTTTATATCGTCTACCAGGCCTAGTTAACAATAGTATAGACAGGCCCCTGTTTATATCGTCTACCAGGCCTAGTTAACAATAGTATAGACAGGCCCCTGTTTATATCGTCTACCAGGCCTAGTTAACAATAGTATAGACAAGCCCCTGTTTAATTAATGCCACCTTCAATATTATTTTATTAATCATTTTATAATCATCTGTTTTTCATGACGTATGTAAAACTCACTAGTTGTTTACTAATTTCTACTACTAATATACCTTATTTATTGAAATTAAATCACCCACCCAATAATAACTTTTAGAAATAAACCGAGTGCACGTGATTACATACATTTTCATCGTATTTAATTATTTTACATTTTATATTTTAATCTCTTATATCATTCACTACGGTGTTGATGTGATTACTAAACATAAAGCTTTTTTTTTCTTGCTTAAAGATATTTGCATATTGATAGAAATATAAGTACTTTTCCGTCAGTTCAGACAAAACAGTCACCTACGTGTTTCTGAAAAACTAAAGCTCATTTGAAGTACGCATGCTCGAAAATAAAGATACTTGTATGTATCATTGTGTTAATGCAGTGTAACATTTTAGATGAGATTAGATAATATTAATTCAGACGGATCTTTATTTAGTTATTTTCTAGATGTCACTTTTGTTAGTAATTGCCCTGAGAGAGAGAGAGAAATAAAATATATCTAGTAGAAATTCTTCACACACTCATGTTCTTATTTTGTCAGGGAAGCGGTATTGTGGGTCGACCGTCCGTTTCCTTTATGGTGTGTCCAGGTGGGTAGAATTTCGTTGCATCGCCATCTATTGGCAAAGTAATGAACTTACCGTCAGAAACATTCTGTTTTAGAGGTTTTATACTTTTAATTTTACTCTTAGATGGTAAAGGATTTTAAACATGAAAGTTCTGTGATCAGTTTACTTAAACAGTTATTCTTACGTGTAACTTTCAGAAGAGCAGTAACTAAAATCCATGTGAATGTCTGACTGAAAATGTGATGTCGGTAATACACATACACATTAAAAAACTATCTTTATTTATTGCTTGTTGAAGTTTATAACGGGAATTCGTGACTTAAGTATATGATTAGATCATATTTTATTACACATCTATTTTTTATGTATGTGGCTAAAACTTTGTCAGTTCCGTATCTTTCAGACTTAAACAGTTTCTATCATACGGACACACACACATATACATCGATTAAAACACGAACAGGTCATCAAAGGGTTGATTAGACACGGAAGTAGGGTTATTTAATGTCACCAGGTGATAAATTAGGAAGGAAAGCAAGGTTTAGAAGGTCATCCAAGGGTTGATTAGACACAGAAGTAGGGTTACTTAATGTCACCAGGTAATAAATCAGGGAGGAAAGCAAGGTTTAGCAGGTCATCAAAGGGTTGATTAGACACAGAAGTAGGGTTACTTAATGTTACCAGGTTATAAATTAGGGAGGAAAGCAAGGTTTAACAGGTTATCAAAGGGTTGATAAGACACGGAAGTAGGGTTACTTAATGTTACCAGGTAATAAATTAGGGAGGAAAACAAGGTTTAACAGGTCATCAAAGGGTTAATTAGACACGGAAGTAGGGTTATTTAATGTTACCAGGTAATAAATTAGGGAAGAAAGCAAATTATAGCAGGTCATCAAAAGGTTAATTAGACGCGGAAGTAGGGTTACTTAATGTCACCAGGTAATAAATTAGGGAGGAAAACAAGGTTTAAAGGGTCATCAAAGGGTTAATTAGACACGAAATATAAGGTGACTATTGAAAGCTGGTATAACGACAGTAATTTGTGATTATAGTAAGTTAGATTATCTTCATATATAAGGTGACTATTGAAAGAGGGTCCAATCACAATAGTCTCAGAAAGTACATATGACTGAGGAAAAACAGGAAATCTCTAACCTGGTAATCTTGAAGACTAAGGTTTTTTGTACAAACGTTATATTTCGAATCTTTAATTTAGGCCTAAAAGTTTTTTTAATCAATCATCTCTTCTAGGTAACACTGGCAGTGATAAGTATTCTGGAGACCTTACTACTAGCATATCTCAGCTACAAGGTAAGTTAGTGGAGTATAATGAAATCAACCTTAACATTCATTCCAAAATATATTATGGTATTCTATATTGAAACCTTATAGATAAAAATTGAATTACAGAGCGTTATGCAATGGATACTTAACAGAAGAGTAGGTCCAGAATAAAATTGAAACCAGACTAAAAATTTAATCAACTCTATTTAGTTATTAATCTAAATAATATATTTAAGGAGTAATTTTGCCTAACCACATAAATATGTGAATGTGAAAAGAAACAGGTAAAAAAGGTTAATTTTTAAATTATGTTTTATAGCATTTTGTGAAGTATGTGAAAAACTAAATATTCTTTGGTATTTTCTGGTTAAAATATTTTATTAACCTTTGCCTAAACAGTTTCTGTCAGGTTGTTGAAGGACATAAAGTTTCTGTCAGGTGTTGAAGGACATAAAATTTCTGTCAGGTGTTGAAGGACATAAAGTTTCTGTCAGGTTGTTGAAGGACAAAAAGTTTCTGTCAGGTGTTGAAGGACATAAAGGTTTCTGTCAGGTGTTGAAGGACATAAAGTTTCTGTCAGGTTGTTGAAGAACATAAAGTTTCTGTCAGGTTGTTGAAGAACATAAAGTTTCTGTCAGGTGTTGAAGGACATATGTTTGTTAATGTTCGCATTCGAATTAAAATCTGTGAAATTAATGGTTTCAATGATTTTGATTTCAAAATCATTTACTAATCTCGCAGATTCCAATAAATAAGACAATTCTATTTGTAAGACCTTTTTGGCCTACATTTTCACTGTACCGTTAAAAAAAGAAGTATATTTTATTTGTTTGAAATTGCAAAACTGAATTATTGTTCAGATTTTTACTTAAGACTTAGGAAAAGCTTGGAATTGATTGAAAATGATCGCACTTAATTAAAATAAATAAATATGTATATAAAAATCTACATCATCTCTTTAACACGATTATACTTTATCGTAATTTATCAAGAAATAAAAACTTTGTGTTTACCGTGACAAACCTGCAAGAAGTTTAAACTTTTCATATTTTTCCAATTTTTTGTTTAGTAAAATATTAATAGTTTTTCACCTCCGCAATAATTTCTTAATAGTGTTAAGGAAATATCAGTTTCACTCGGTAAAAACAGAGTGGCTGGTTTCGTAATAATATTGCATTATGTTTAATATGAAAAAATTAATGTTTTATATATTTATAGCAAAATTCATAAGCTTACAATAAATGGTCAATTTCAAATTGGTCCGGCATGGCCAGGTGGTTAGGGGGCGCTCGACTCGCAATCTGGTCTTCCCCCTCACACCAAACATGCTTGCCCTTTGAGCCGTGGGGGCGTTATAATGTGACAGTCAATCCCACTATTCGTTGGTAAAAGAGTAGCCCAAGAGTTGGCGGTGGGTGGTGATGACTAGCTGCCTTCCCTCTAGTCTTACACTGCTAAGTTAGGGACGGCTAGCCCAGATAGCCCTCATGTAGCTTTGCGCGAAATCCATAACAAACAAACAAACAATTTCAAATTATATCATATATATATATATATATATATAATTATATATATATATATTACCGGTTAATATCCTAGAAATAATCTAATGATATCATCTTGTATGTTAGAAATATTAGCAATGATATTTTAAAATACAATGACTAACATACACCACATCTGCATATTAGCTATTAGTATAAATACTCGCTATTTTTGCGATAAAATTTTATTTCATTTTGATTATTTTAATCAAGTTATTTTGAAACACATTGGAGACGACGCTGTTGATGATGGCGCCATGTTTATCCCATTTCTAAAAACTTGATTGTTTTAATGTATTTTGTTAATCCAAATACTGCAAACAATTTTTATAGGGCAACATCTGGCAGCAGCTGATGTCATTCAATTTAATTTTGGAGCTGGTCAACAATGTTCCGTTTATTATTACGGTAAGATTCTATGGATGTCACAAGTTAATATTTGTAGCTAGTAATGTTTGTGGAAACGTGCTTTTCACATAACGTGCGAAAACCAACCTTATAGCCAGAGTAAGAGAAACACATCGAAACTATATGTTAATGGTAAATTTGATAAAAGGAGAGTAAATAACACATCTTACTGCTTGTATTTAGGTATTTGGAATCTTAATTTTGAAACTAAAAACAACAAAAAAAGTTGTTTTGTGGTAAACTATTTCGAAGGGTAATACATATACATTTCTGGTACGCATGAGCATAAACTGGCGCTCCCTAGTGGCACAGCGGTATGTCTGCGGACTTACAAAACTAGAATCCGGGTTTCGATA